CACCACCACCACCAGCATCACCACCACCCCCACCACCACCACCACCATCACCACCACCATCAGCATCACCACCACCACCAGCATCACCACCACCACCACCACCACTATCACCACCACCAGCACCACCACCAAACCCAATAAGGTATTAACATCTCAACCAGGTGCTCCTGGCTTCAAGGCTCTCAGTGTCCCTGGCCAGGCTCTGTCTAACTGTTTGGTCCCTATGCTCCCACTTCCTGGCATCCTTCCAGTCCTCCAATGTAGTCACCAGCAAGTCATAACTTCCCTGTGCTGTTACCTCTGTGGAAGACCCTGGCCTCTCCCTCTCCCGGTAGGGAATGACCTAACCATCAGTTCTCAGCTGAAAAGGCACATCTGGGAGCAAATTGTTCATGATTCAGCCTCCACCAAGTTCTTGTGTTAAATAACTTTATAGAATGACTTTTTTTTTTCTCGTCACCAGACTTAACTCAGTCTGCAATCTCATGTTTATTCATACGTCTATTTGATTTCTGTCTTTTCCCTGGATCTGTAGAGACTTTTGAGAGCAGGAAATACTGTCTATTAGTCTCTATGTGTTTCTGCCTCACACAGCACATCGGTGGGCATTGGTGCACATTTATGAAAGGAAAACATACTCAAAAGTGTCTGCCTGACACAGTAAGAGCTGAGCGAAAGCAGTGATATGAGCCAGGAGTCTGCTACCAGACTCCTGATGTAGGAGATGCTACCTACATCTGCAATTCCAGTGCTCAGGAGAATGACTCAGGAAGGTCAGAAGTTTGAGACTAGACTGTGCTGTAGAGGGAGCCCCTGACCCAGAACAAAGCAAGCAAACAGAATGGGGCTACAGTCCATGCATTTGCCCAGTGGGGAACAAGGCTGTGGGCTGGTCAAAGGCTGAGATGCTCGGGGAGACAGACAAAAGCAGGGTAGGGTAACATTTATCTTATTCCCCTGATAGATTAGCTGCTTATAAACAAGGAAAACAAGGCCCCTTGGCTGAGGAAGTATTAACATGAAACCACGTTGGGCCTCATTTGGGGTTTGCTGTCAGTGACTGGCGTGATCCACAGGGATCTCTGAGTGGGTTATTTCTAAACCAGCACCCACCAGGCTGTAGAACATATGCTACAGAGACATGGTTGGGAGAAATATTATTTTAAACTAGACTGATAACTGGCCAATTAAATTGTCTTTGAGCTCAAACACCTCACATTTGAGCTGGATTCTAAAGTTCTTGGGGTATTTGTTAGGGGTTCTACAAACCACCACAGAACGGGAGGCTTGAGACAGTAGCAACGCAGATCGCAAGGTCCAGGAGTCAGAAGATCCAAATCGCTGTCACTGGGATAAAGTCATAGCCCAGCAGGACTGAGGCTCTGGTCCTCACATCTCATGCTTCCGGTGGCTGTCGTCGACTACAGACACATCTCTTAACTCTCTGTCTCTGTCTTCATATCACTTTAACTATCTGCCTGCATGTATGTCTGCAGTCTTCTGTCTCCCATAGAAATATGTGTGATGATATGTCGTGTCCATCCAGATCATTTGGAGCAACGCCCCCATTTCAAGAACCTTCATTTAATCCCACCCCCAGTCAAGTCTACGTTATATATAGCAACATTTACAGATTGCAGAAATGGGGACTCCACACCTCTGGGGTCATTCAGTATTCAGCGCCTCCTACAGTCTTCTTTACAACCCCCAAATAGAGTCACATACCTTGCTCTCGCTACTGTTTATACAGGACAGCTTTACTAAAGGGACCGTTGCTGAGGTGGACTTAGCCCACTGACAGGTCAGTGAGAGGTGGTGGCAGGATTCCAATCCAGGCCCAAAGTGTGCATTTCCTGGGTAGTCTATGCCTTTGTGTGCACTCGGGGCTGGCAAAGCTCTTCAAGCCAAAAGAAGATGACAAGGATGGGTTGCCATGACCTTGATCAGCTTATGGTACCAAAGGCACTGCAGTATCACCCCAGGGATTCTCCATCATCGCATCACGGCTGATGGGGGAGAAAGATGTCCTGCTGGGCTTCTTTGTTTTTGTTTTTTGGAGACAGGGTTTCTCTGTAGCTTTGGAGTCTGTCCTGGAACTAGCTCTTGTAGACCAGGCTGACCTTAAACTCACAGAGATCCACCTGCCTCTGCCTCCTGAGTGCTGGAATTAAAGGCGTGCACCACCACTGTCCAGCTGCCCTGATGTTTTTTTTAAAGAAACACACAGCTCTGTTGTGGGACCAGCTGTATATGTGAGAGCTATCAGTGGCTGAGGATCCCATGACTGTAGTGAACCATATTCTCCCAGCAGCCAGTGAGCATGAAGGAGGAGCCTGGGCCTCTGAAAGATCATAGCCCAAGCCTGTACCTTAATTTCAGTTTGGTAAAACCCTGGGCAAAAGGCCCAATTAAACTAAGTGAGAGTCCTGACCCACAGCCACCCATGTGGCCTGAGTAAGCTGTTAAATCTACGGTCATTGGTTATGCAGCAGTAGGCAATTGATGGTACTTGTTTTGCACGGGGGGTTATTGTGCAGATCTGAGCTAGAGAATAGATAAGGGCAGACAACCCAAGCGCAAAGTCAAGTACAACAAATGCCCAGGCAGCAAAGTATCTTGGGAAGAAAATGTCGGCTGTGAAAATGCGATGGCTTAGAGTCAGGAAATAGATTCTTAACTGCAAAATAGGCCGGGAGGCAGATTTGAGGGAAATTGAGAAAGGGAAAAGGGAGATGTTTCGCAAAGCCTTTCAACTTTAGGGATAAAAGCCTAACTCCAGCAGGCCAAGCAGCTAAGAATGAATCCAACGAGTAACAAGGAAAGCCTAGCGGCTAACAAGTCCAGCAGTTTCTGCATCAGCCTGATGCCTCTCCCCTCTTTCACTCCCTTCCTCACTGCTGACGCCACTGCTAGGCAGGCAGAACCTTCTGGCAGTCATTCGTGGGCCTCTCAAATGTTCACTCAAGGCTGATAGCTGCCTTGTTAAACAACCCCCCAGGAACAAGATCGCTGGCTCTGGCCCCCTCCCCTCACACTTGACTTGCATGCCCAACTTTGCATGGTGGTAGGGGGCAGCCTCACCTGAGACCAAATGGGTGCTCAGTAGGCAAAGGTCACAGTCACCTGTTGCCCTACACAAAAGATGTTAGGAATCCGTGAATCTGGCGCCATGTTCACGCTCAGGTACCAGAGGGACAAGACTGCGCATGTCAGAAAGCCAAGAAGTAAGTAAGTAGGTAAGTGTTAACCGCAGGCTCCTGTACATGGCGTTT